GTTATTCCACTGTCAGTTTATGTACAATTTTGGCTTTAGTTACAAATGGTCCATCATATTATAAGTGTTTCCTTTTATTCATAGTTAATGATGCTTTTCTTTGTATTTGTATTATATTCCTAACAATAATCCTAAATGATTAACTGAAAAATTTCTAACATAGATAGGAATTATATTTTTCACTAGAACAGATTCCAAAAATTATGGGGAGTTTCACATAAAGCAGAATATTGTATAGCATGTCCCAACATGTGTAGGATATTTATTTTATCATCAGATTTCTCCTCAGGGCTATATGCCAGGATTCTGTCAGTGTTCTAGTTGAATTGAAGCTGGTGAAAAAATACCATTTTCAGCACCTATTATGAAAGATAAACTCAGTAAGCCAGAGAAAATATTGGGGAGACATTGAGAAGGTGTATGTAATATTACTGGTGTGTGTAACAGAATCATTGGTAACTCAGAGTATCTTAGGAGTCAGGAATTTGGAAACTGGAACCCATGATTACCATAGGCTGTGTCTTTTGCTTTCTCCCTTTTCCCATGCATATTTTATCTCTTATCATGCATATTTGATTTTTATTTTTTTCTCAGAGCTGAGAGGCATCCATATGATAATTAATAGAGCCATAAGCAAACTTCTTTGCCTTTTAAATGTGGTAGAATTCTTGTCGCTAAGCTTCCAAATAAAAAATTCATAGAAGAACTTTCATTGTCCCTGAAGGGGTGATGTTTGTATGACTGGTGGTGTTTATTATTGCCAGAGTGGGGGTTATGATTGGTTTGGCCTACATTACATGCTTAGCACTGTGGGTTAATGGGGGGGGTGATGGGTTAGAGTAGAGATATAAATGTATAAATTCACAATTCTATCAGAGGTATTGACAAGGGTAAGGATGTTTTCTCAAAAGGGATTTTTCCTAATACATTATTGATTCATTTTTATGAGTTTGAGCTGTTAATTAGATTTTTTTCAGCATTAGATTTTTAGGTTCATTGCATAGTCTTTATCTCAATTAGTATTCTATTTGTTTTATTTCACTTCTGTTTCATTTCATCTGCTGCAGTTTTCTTACATATCAGCTTATTATACATTAAAAAAAGATGTTGAAGAGACTGCAATGTGGGGTATAATAAATTTGTATTCAGCTATCTCTGTAAATAGTTTACAATCTCATTAAATGTTGAGTAAAATATTCTCTCTTATTTCATATTTCAGACTGCTTTTACCAGTTTTTGATTTTGTTTTTCCTCTTTGTAAATAAGGAGAGTTCTCCACCACCAGATTTGGTGTATTACCTTCATCTCTGCATGACAGTGGTTAAAATCTACTTTAGCTGAAAGCCATGACATGTCAAACAATAGTAACCACATGGGGAGAGAGGCAGGCAAAGTAGGGAAGGTCAGAGTATGTGTTGAAGCAAGGTCAGGAAAACATCTTCACAGGACGGCTAATGAGGGCAGGGTGAGGTGGGGAATCATGCATTGATGGAACCTGGAAGGGGTGTCAGAGCACAGATATGCAAGAGGTGGGGCCAAGGAGTTGTAACTTAGTGTGATGAAGAAGGCAACTACCTGGACATAGGACAGTGGTTATAAACACTAGGGTTAATTCAAAAGAGGAACTACATTAAAAGTGACTAGTCAGGTTTATCACTTTTACAGAAGGGAGTTTAAAATATGGAAATGGAGCAACAAGTGTGAACACCTTGGCATTTTCAGTGTAAATCAAAATGTAGATATTTATATAAATAATTTTATCACTTACATGTCTCTTTACCCGAAACCTGGTGGGAGGCTCATTATGGAGGTTTACGTAGACCATAGGGAAGATTTTTGAGTTTTATTCTATGTGAAATAACCCATGAAAAGGCTTAGCCACAAATGCAGTACTAATTGACTTGCATTCCAAGTATCACAGCAATGTAGACATTAAATATTGCTATGCAGAAATTAATTTGTCTATGGCAGGAAATGAAATAAAAAAGCCAATTCAAAAAAAAAATGAGGGATAGGGGCCTCCCCGGTGGCGCAGCGGTTGAGTGCTGGGTTGTGAAGCTGCCCACAGCCTCTGCAGCGCGGGTTCTATCCCCGGCTGCTCCCCGGCCACCGGAGGAGGGTCCCACATGGCGCACAGACCTCTCCTGCCTCCCGCTGCTCCCCTCAGCAGTGTATTTTGGTCCTTCTGCCTGCTCTGCTCCCTGCTCTGGCTCTGGTGAATTCTCTCACCCTCCTGTGCTTCTGACTGTACCCAGTGCTTACATAAATAAACAAATAAATCTAAAAAATAAATAAATAAATAAAAATGAGGGATAATACTGGTTTGTGGGTGGCAGTGGTAAAATGACTGAATAGTTAGCCAGCATTTCTTCACTGAATGGAGTTCATGAGGAAGAAAGCAATTCGGGGTAACAACAAATTGTATGTCTAAACTACTGGTAGAGTTATGGTATCGTAGTTCTGGGTAGTTTTGATAGAAGAACAAATTTGGAGTCAGAAATTTCCCAAGATCATATATTAAGTCTTGTGGAAGTCAGGTAATGAATGATCATATGTTTCCAGGCCCAATTATATTTCTTTTACGTCTTACTGATTTCTAAAGGTGAAGTATCTCACTCTCCATTTCCTGCTTGAGAATGTTCTAACTTAAGATACCAACTGCAAGTTTAAGGATTTCCCAGGCACCCTCAGTTCAGAATACCTGTCTACAAATTCAGGAGACCTGCAACATTTCTTGGATAATTTGTCTAAATAATTTGACTCATAGAACTCAGGAAAGCACTGTACTTAGTGTTACATTTTATTGTTGCAAAAGGATACAAATCATAATCAAGCAAAGGAAGAAAGGGGCAGGGGCAAGTCTGACAGGGTTCTGAAGAGGAGCTTCTGTTGTCCTCAGGTATATAGTGCCCTCTGGGCATACAAGTGTGCCAATCCTCACAAAATATCGCCAACAAGCAAACTCACACTGTAGACATAATCATATTGGCTGTGTGGTTGAACTCAGTCTAGATTCTATTCACACATACGGTTTTTTATGTTATGTTTGCACACATTCAGTTATCTCATTAGTATAGAAGGGTCATCTCCTTAGCAAAAACTTCTCAGGGGTAGCCCAAGGGAGGCTCACCATGAATACCAAAGATACTCCTTTCACTTTTGAAATTCCTAACCTTAGATTTACAGAATTTCTTCTAAGAGTTAGGCAAAGGCCAGGTTTTTGTATGTATGCAGTACTTCACTACACACGCATAGTTATATCCCAGGTATCCAACCCAGTCTCTGTCAGGTAGTATGTTAACAACAAGTATTTTATTTTATTTTATTATGTATTTATGTATTTATTTATTTATTTTAAAGATTTATTTATTTATGCATACCAGAACTGGGGGACAGGCCAGAGGTGTGGGGGTGGGTGAGAGGATTCACCAGAGACAGAGTGGGGAACAGAACAGGCAGATTGACTGAAATACACTGCTGAGGGTAGCAGTGGGTGAGTCAAGAGAGGTCTACTGTGCCATGTGGGTAGCTGGGGATCAAACTCGTACTGCAGTGGCTTCAGATAGCTTCATAGGTTCCATCTTAACCCCTTGCACCACCAGGGAGGCCCGACAACAAGTATTTTAGTAATAAAATTGTTTAATGTCTAATGTCTTTTAACATAGGATTTTTTTATACAAAAATAACAATCAGGAATAGTTTTAGTGAGTGTAATCTATGGAATTCAAGCATTAATTAGAAAAAGAGAAACTTAAAAAATCTCATTTTACATATGACCTCTCATGCCTATTTCTTTTGCTATAATTTAAAACTAGAAAATCATTTTCAAGATGCTTATTGATGCTTAACAGACTCTAACTTGATGGGAGAAATATCAAATTGCTTCAAATAGTTTATATTTGGTGTTTACATATGTGAGAGGGAAGTGAGTTAAATGGATTAACTTGTAATTTCAATCAACTGGTCCATTGAATAAAATAATGGGTTAACCATTTTTTCCCCCTTTGAATTAACAAATTGCTGGGAAGAGCTGATGCAATGTCATTTTTTAAAATAATCTTTGCTTCCTTGAGACATAATAATAAGAAAGCAATGCAGTAAAGTGTTTATTCTTACAACATTCATAAACCCAAAGCCAAAAATAATCACCAAAAATACATATTTCTAAATTTGAAATTCTATGAAGGATGTGCACCTAATTTAATACTAACTATAATAATTTATGCTATTTTACCTTCCCTATCATGTGATGAATATTTATCAATTAACTTACCAAGTAATGATAGTTATGTAGTCATTTACGGCCAGAAATAAACAGATAAGACATCTAAGACTAAAGAATAGCTTGATGAGGCTTAAAATCATGTTTATAGTAACCATTATAAACAAACAAAACACTTTGTCTTTTAGCTAAATATCCTTTCTCATTGCAACAATATTAAAATATATAGTCAGGCTTATACTCTTGGAAAATCAAGATTGAATATAATTTAAAACTTTTTATTGATGTAAAATACATATTGTTTTGATCCTACTCCCTTCTCTCCCCACTGTAGTTCAATTAATGGCTTGTTTATGAGATTAATCATCTTTTTCCCCATACCTATCAATTTTTCCATTTACAGAAGGACGTGGACATTTTTAGTAGTTAGGAAGCAAAAAAGGGGAAATAAATTGTGAGATTCTCAGTGAATTTAAGAATATGAAATAATGTAAACAAACAGGAGACAAAAAACAGGTAGTTGTGGGGAGAATAATCAGATACTAAGTGGATGGAAGAAGTTGACATCACTGAAGATCAGTGATACACTAAACAGAAAAGAATCCGGCTTGAAATGGTCAATATTTATCCACAACAAAAATTTAAAATGAAAGTGAATGTGTATACTATATATCCAAGCTAGTTTCCAATAGGAAAGTCTCATTAATAACGTGGACAAATAATTATGATATAGAGACAAATAATATTGACAGACAATTACAGTGGCTGAATTCATTACCTTTTAGTTTGGTTCACTGCATTTTGGAACAATCTCAGAGGACAGTTATTTTTCAAACTGGACAAAAGTTTTCTTTTTCTTTCACTCCAATTCACTGTGGCTCCACTGAAAATATATGGAATCCTTTTTCCACATGGCAGCACTAAAGTGATGGAAAGAAAAATTATTGACTTCAAATTTATTTTATTTAAAGGTACTCACCCTTAGTTTAATCAATAGCTTCTCACTGAACACCATTTTAATATTTTTCACCATGTTTATCCCAATGAATTAATATATAGTATAATCTCTTTTCTTAATCTAAATTGTAATAGCCAATGTGATTATTCATGACTGCACTTTAATGTTTTTTGAGTTTTAGGAAATTTAAATATTATCAATGGATTGACTACAGCAGAGTATGTAAAATTTGTGATCCAGGTATTTAAGCCAGTTTACTAGGTTTATTAATATTTGTAAAAGAAAAGGCTGATTTTCCCCTCTATGAACATTTCCTTTCTGAAAACTATTTTGGGATGAATGCATGCTAAAATAATTAATGAGTAAAATTGCCATCCTTATTAACACTAGTTTTACTCATAATAATACAAATGTTATTCTAATTCTGAAGGTTAAAACCTATATATTTTACCCTTGAAGAGTTCTTTAATAAAACTATCAGAGAAGAGCAGAATTTTCCCTCTACTTCTCTGGGTTCTTCTCAAGCTGGTCTAGCAAACAATTTAGCATCAGACAGGTGAGTAGGAAAGAATAATTAATTGTAGGTGAGAGTGGAATCTACACATAACTGAGGATTTTGATTCCAGTGAGGAAAATGGGGACATACAGCCTGAGCTAAGGAATCAGGGCTGGGGGCTCTGATGTCAAGGAGAGAGAAAGGGAATTCACATGAGGAACAGAAATTAATTCATCTGACATGGACCAGAAGCTCTGTAATCAGATGTTCTTCTTGCCATATAGATGTTTTTTTCTGATACATTATTTCTAGGAAGGTTATTTCTAGAAATATTATTTCTAGTGAAGTACTAATACCCCCAATTTTCATTATTCTCAATAAAGATAGTGGTAAAAGTTTCTTGTGAGTTTGCAGGCCCTCCATTGACTTTAGCTTAAAAGAATCCACACGCCAAAGTCCTAGAAAGTTCTTTCTGAGCATCTCAGGGAGGCTTATCCTTTATTACTATACCTATTAAGCACCTACTATCACTATCTTTCAATAGCATTTAGACACACTATATAATTTATTTGTCATAGAAACAAAATTCATGATGGCATTTCAGCTCATTAAAAAGGTATTTCTTGGGTCATGACTACGTGTTGGAATCTGTTCTAAGACATTGGGATATACCCATGAACAACTCCCATTTAAAGCTTATATTTTTAGAAGAAAGGTGAGTAAATCATTTCTTACAGTAATCACACACTTTTCCTTGGTTCATACAAAAGGAAGAGGGAGAACTGAGATAATTCTATTCCCAGGAGGCTGTATTCAGACAGTATAAAATAACAGAAGGAAAAATTCCTTTGTTTCTAAGATAAATATAATGAGTCATAAACTCAAGAAATGTTTTTTCATGACTATACTAATCAAGAGTCCTATGATTTTTGTCTTGATTTGTTACAAATGTAAACTGTAAATTACACCTTCTATTAGCTACTCCATGTATGTAAACTTTTCCTTTAAAAAAATAATACAATAATGTAAACCTTCAGGTTAATATACATTGATTCTATCAAAGGTAGCAATCATTGTGACTGCTTTTTGAAGAAAAATAATCAAAGCAGTATGATTATAGATACCATTCATTTGATAACTCTAAGTGTTCATAACGCTATATTAATCTGGACATGAAAACTTCCTTCAAATACTAATAATTAAAATGTGTATTTTTTACTAGTATCAAAGGACTTTAAATATTCTCTATTTGCTAATTTTACTCTCCATGAGTTTAATGGTTCTCCAGAAAAAAGGGAGTTATATATTTTAAAAAATAGTATTGTTATATGCAAAATTATTATGTTATATATATATAAATGCTTTGTGTTACAAAATAGAGTAAATTTAACATAGGATTAATAAAAAATAATAAATTACACCTTTTCTGATGATAATTTGAAGGTTTTTATAAAATTATTTATTCTGTACACCTTGAATATTCATTCCTCCTTATGGTTCTTTGTTGTGAGTGGTCTCCTATAGTGATGCTACCCACAATTCTGTGTGATGTTTTTAAGAAAAACATTACTACTGTTAAAGCAGGGTAAGACAACCTGTATTCCAAAGCTAACTGTCAGAGTAGGTGTGGGGCCACTGCAATGGAATTTTGCAGTATGGGAGAGAGACTGGTGTCAGTTCTGTGTATTACAAGGGTAAGAGGGGATTTGTAACCAAGGGGCAAGGTAAGGGAGTCAGTGGTTGAAAGAGTAAGAACAAACACAGGGGTAAGGGAATTGTAGCTAAAACAGATTAATAGTATTACTGCTGTTAGGCAGGGTCATCAGACATTACCTGGGAGGTATAGAAAGATGAGGAAACTAAGCAGATACTGAAGGTTGGAGGATTCTGGTTAAACTGATTTATCAGGCATATGTCTAAAACTGGACAATGCAAAAGAGTAATACAGAAGTGGGCCTAATTGATAAGTGCAGGGGACCCTGAATAGAATTCGGTCAAGGAAAGAACACCAATATCTCCTCACCTTGCAGGATTTTCTTCAAATGCTATGTCATCTCTTCAAATAGTACTGCCCCCACCCCATCTCTAGTAGACCCAGATCTAACATTCTAATGTACTTCTCCCACTCCAAACATTATTCTCTCTCACAGTATCCTGCAACCTTCATTCATATAGCTTAAATCTAATTTTACTTATATATGCGTTTTCAGTTGTTTAATACTTGGCTTATCACTCTAAACTTTTTAAGGTCTTCTGCCCACCTTATATGTTTTATTGACCAGGAATATTTATCATCTAACTCAGGAATGGTAGATAATTATCAATTTTTTGGTCAAGTTAAAAATATGAGGAATGAATTAAAGAAACGTATTTATCTGAAGTTTAACTAATTCTGATATACTATCAATTGATAGATTATATTATTGATGGATTTAAAAGAGTCTAACATTACTCCTTTGTAAATAATCAAATGTATCATTACATGAGCATTGACTGTGTCTATCGTAGGAGATAGACTGAGAACAAAGTAGTCATCCTGAAGACAGCAAAATAGAAAGAGAGAGAATCTGTGATCTTTATGCTACAGAATTAACCAAATCTGCAGACATCCAGCTCTGAATTTCTGTGTAGTAAAGGCCAGTTGGTAGATTTTTCTTATATCGTCAATCAAAAGTTCTTGCGTGCATTTTCAAAACAATAGGTATAATGTTTAGGGCTTATTCTAATGAATACTATTTCAGTAAAACATCTAATCTACATAATTAGCAATGTTACTTTGGTCAGTAAAGGTGTTATCTTGTTATGCATTAGTATAGAACGGAAGTGAAAAGTTTAGTTGGATTGGGTAAGAAAACATGCAATTATTAACTGTTTTCCCATTAAAAATCTTCATTGTGAATTATTTTATGCTAAACAATTTAATAGCAGTACCACAGCTGTTGCTGAAAATCATCATCTGACACTGTGGGAGTCAAAATATATTATGGGATAAAATTTATGAACTTATTTCTTTTCAAAGCTTTAATGAACAGTGCTGGTAATAATTGTCATGCATATATGTCTGCCATAGGATGTCTACCTTATTTTCATGGCATATGACATTATAATAAATTTGTTTCATTGGCTCTTGCCTAACCTTATGACTGTGAAGTGCTTAGTGTTACTGTTGACTATAATTACAGGTTACTCATATAAAGTTTTATATATATGTGAAGCTATTTTAATGACTTTATATATATGAACTTAGTTTATTTTCTAACAAATTTATATAATACCTTTAAATAGCTTTATTATCTCAGAAATGAAAATATTGGGGCACAAAGAGATCAGTAGTTGATCTGGATCCCACAACTACAAGGCCATAGAAAGAGTTTGATTGCGATTTTAATTCTTTAGTTGGCCCCTTCTTAGTAGGGAGCAAGCAAATTTTCTGAGAATTAATATTTTAAGTGATTTTTCATTTATTAAATATACATTGGATTTATTTAATGTTGAAAGGATATTTTACTTGCATGAAACAAAATATTTTTTCACACCACTTGTACACAAATCCATTGCATTATATTGAATACATACTCACTGTTTTAAGAGGTATCATATAACCTGAATTAAAGATTAATTTCTAAGTTTAGAAATTTCTTTTAAGAAAAAGTTATATATATGTGTATATATGCATAACAATTTATTTTTAAAGTTATGATTATTGTCCGATCTGCCACAAAAAAGATTTTTGAATTAAGTAGACAACATAATTTATTGTGTTTCCTTTGTAGATACATTAATATTTTATTTAAAATATACTTAATGAATATACTCTTCGACAAAATGTCTGGTCAAATGATAGGTAATACTCCCAATATTTCAAGTTAAAAGATTCCTGTTTTTCCCCCCCAAAAAAGTGTTTATCCAAACTTGAAGGAATGAAAATTGCAAACAAGGAAACTTATAGGATGCTAGTAAACTCACTTTATAAGTTTATGAAAAATGATTAAGAAGTTACATGGGAAATTGATTCATTGCTAAATATTAGTATTACATATTTATGGCCTTCAGTGAGTTGTGATATTTTGAGGATTATATATATAAATGTTTTCCATTTAAGAGTCCCATTTGTCTTAGATTAGTTCACATCATTCATTTAAGAATTAAAAAAAGTTTCTCACATATTCCATTTATCTTACACATAGGAAAGCATTCTAGATAATACATTCTTATACAGAGCCATTTAATATAAAGACATTTTATAAATTTTGGAAGTTCATGGATATTGGGTTTACTCTAACAGTATCACTTATACACAGGATAACTTTATACACATAAATAGCCATTTTTTATTAAAGAAGTATTTGTTAAGTCTTTACCATGAATTTAAATGAACACATTAAAAAAACAAGATATACTCCCAAACCTTAGGGAATAAAAACTTTGGTGAAAGAAGCTTATATATATTGTGGCTCGCACGCTGTCAGATGGTCATAGGAACAATACAATTGAAATCTCACAGTATAATTGGGTAGGATTTGCTATTCATTTTACATATAAAGAAACTAAATTTCAATAAATTAAGTAACTTATTCAAGGTCACTTACCATCAATGCCATACAAGGATTTCCTCTCAGGTCTTTTTAATACTTCCACTGTCTTCTAAACTCACTATCTCCATTTTTCACACTGCAGTTAGAGTGATATTTCTAAAATTAAAACAACAACAAAAACCCTTGCTAGTCTCTCTTATTTAAAATGCAACCAGAGTTAGCAATTGCTTTCAGGATTATATTCAATTTCTTCAACTTGTATGACAAGAGTATGGTTTATCCTTGTGCCAGTTTAGGGAAAGATCGCAAATACATAGTTAAAGCAAAGATCTCAAACTGATTTAGGGGGTAAGGAATGCTTTTGGGATTTTTTCCCACATCACAGATTTAGAAGACATAATTCTTGGTTGAGAATTAAAGGAACTATTGTGAGTGAAATACAGGCACCCATTTGTTTTCTTGTGAGACTTATGAATGCCCTTGCTGATGAAGGGCAGGGAGTAGGTGGAAGGGGACTCAAGTTTTAGGACTTGGCTGGGTATTACACTTTTAGAAATTGATGGATTATTTGCTTTGAACTGGTAAGACAATCCAGGAAGCTTCTCAGATTCATGTAATTAAAGTACTCTAGTGATTAAGTATACTCTTTGTAGGAGCTGACCTGGATCTCAGGCACTGGGATGGATTTACAGCATTAAATTCTGGAGTCTTAGGGTCCTACCCCCCACTCATGGCATTTATGCAGTAATTCTCTATCTCCAACCTGAAGTAGTGGCTTCAAATATCATTTACTGGTCTTTCAAATGAATCATCTGGGCAAATAAGCTGTTTTTAAGTTGTGGATCTCAAGGATCTGTTCTTATTCTCTCTCCTTCTCTCTCTTTTTTCCCTTTCCTTCCCAATTCACCCTCCTTTCTATTCCTTCCCAATTCACCCTCCTTTCTATTCCTCCTTTCTCTCTCCCTGTGTTTGTCCTTCAATGCACATCTTTCACTAAAAATAAATACAGGATACACAATGCTTAGAGGGAACAAAGTGGGCAAATTGGTAGCAAAGATATACTCTCAATACTTAGGTTTGGTATTGATTTGACAAATTGATCCTTGACATACACATCCTTAAACTTCTATTCAAGTGTTATTGAAAAAGTAAAGGGAAATGTAACTAGATGGGGGAATAAAGACTAACATTGATTTTTCAGAATTTGGAATAATAATATCTATCATATTATCAATATTGTGTCATATCTACCAATAACACTATCATAAGTGATATGATCATAGACTTACAGATCATCATCACTATTAATATACACCATAGCCTTATACATGTTTCAGTCCAATCACCCACAAAGGGCATAGGAGGTCTTGGTTAGTACTCTCTCATAGCTTTGCAGTATATGAACCTTATAAGACATTGTAGTTAATTGACCCTCCCTCCAAAGGCCCTCATATAGGTTATTCATTACTTGAGATGAGAACAGAATAATGTCATAACTTCCCTGCCATGTTAATAGACAACTTTTATAACTCAGGTTTTGATGCTTTTGATTGAATAACATTATGGGTAGGAGTTATAGATTTTAAAAAGTAAATAGCAAAAGTTGTATATATAGACTGGAGCAGATTAGACCATGTAGAAGAAGGAGTTAGCAAACAATATCATGTGATATATTTTTTTTTACTGGGGTAAAATTAATTTAAAATAGTATTTCATCTAGGGAAATAGGTTCTTACCTTCACAGGTATATATCACCAAATCACTCCCACTGCCAGAGCACACTTATCCTTTACCATAGATTTTTGTAGTGTTTGCAATCTTTCTTTGTTGAAATGTGATAGATATTCCTATAATATTGCTTGTTGAAATGTTGTATATATTCTTTAGAACAATGTATATTAAAGTACTACACCAGTTTTCAATTGGGTTGTTTGTTTTATTTTGTAGAATTCAAGGAATATTTATATATTGCGGATACTAGTTGATTTTCACTTCATTTCTCTTGACAACTTTTTTTTTAATATCACTTAAAAAAATCATGCATATTGAAGTTACACTGTTTTACAACACCGCATATGTTTTAAGGGTTCACACTTCTATACACTTCTACGAATGTATGTTATCACACCATGCCACCACCAAAAGCCTCAATGATCCTCTATCATAGTTCACTGGGCTCCCTCCTACTTTTGCTTTCATTCCCCTTTTCTTCATGGATTGGAAGATTTAATATTGCTAATATGGCCATCTGATCTAAAACAACACACATATTCAGTGCAATCCCTAGGGAAATTCTATTAGTTTCTTCAAGGAAATAGACATAACATTACTGAAATTCATATGGAACCAGAAAAGATCCAAATAGCCAAAGCGATTATGACAACAAAAAGGAATGAAGGTATGTTCCCAGACTTTAAATTGTGCTACAAAATAGTAGTAATCAAAATTGTATGGTAGTAGAAAAAAAAATAGACACAAAGATCAATGGAATAGAAGGGAGGACCCAGAAATAAACGCTTACATATATGGACAGTTAATTTACAACAAAGGAGCCAAACACATACAATGGAGAAAGAAAAATCTGCTCAACAAATAGTTGTGGGGGTATTGTAGATCTATTTGCAAAAGAAAGAAACTAGACCACTGTCTCACACCATAAACTAAAGGTAATTTAAAATGGATCAGAGACTTGGATGTAAGCCCTAAAACTGTTAAATACATGGGAGAAAAAGTCATTATCTTGATGTGGTATCTCCAGCTTTCTGGGACCTTCTCCAAGTCCTTTCCTATGGCTCCCTTCCATCTCCAGAATGTACAATAGACTTAGGCCAGCTTTCAGTCTTCAGTGGGTTTTGGGGTTCCTTGGTGACCTCTGGTCACAAGCCAACACCTTGTCCTCTTTCAAGTAATCATTTATACTTTTTTTAAAAAGATTTATTTATACAAGCACTGGGTACAGTCAGAAGCCTGGGAGGGTGAGAGAATTCACCAGAGCCAGAGCAGGGAACAGAACAGGCAGACCGACGAAATACACTGCTGAGGGGAGCAGCGGGTGGCAGAAGAGGTCTGCGCGCCATGTGGGACCCTTGTGGTGGCCGGGGATCAAACCGACGCTGCAGAGGCTGCAGGCAGCTTCACAGCCCAGCCCTCAACCACTGCGCCACCAGGGGAGGCCCAATCATTTATACTTTTTAACAAATTTGAATATATTCGGTCATTACCCTTTCAAGTATGTTCCTAATCTTTTGTGCTCCTAAAAGCCAACAATCTCTCTCTCTCTCTCTATATATATATATATATTTTTAAATATTTATTTATTTATTTATACAAGCACTGGGTCCAGGCCAGATACGCGGGAGGGTGAGAGGATTCACCAGAGACAGAGCGGGGAACAGAACAGGCAGATTGACAAAATACATTGCTGAGGGTAGCAGCGGGTGCAACAGGAGAGGTCTGCCATGCCATGTGGGACCCTCTCCAGCAGGCCGGGATTGAACTGGTGTTGCAGAAGCTGCGGACAGCTTCACAGCGTGGAGCTCAACCGTCTGCGCCACCAGGGGAGGGCCTATCAATATATATTTCAAATCAGTCAATTTGTTCCTGAAGATCACTAAAGCTCTGTGCAATTTTCTCTCCATGGTTTGTTCAAATTTCACTGCTTTGATTTCTATTCACTTTATTTTTTTCTGCAGTGTCAATCAAAACTGTTGGGTATTTTATTTCAGATTCTAATATTTTTTATATCTAGTAGTTCCATTTACTTTTAATATAAATTATATTTCTCTTCAAATATTTATTGCTTTTCATAATTCTCAATCATATTTATAATAATCATGGATAACATTTTTGTATTTCTTTAATGTTTAGTATTTTGCATTCATTGTTTGATATTGTGAATATTATTAAGCATTGGGATTCAATTTTTTACCTTAAACAAGAAAAGGGATAAACAAGTCAGTGAAATGGGGAAAAAATACCAAAGTACATAAATATGTAATTTAGAGTAATGATATAGTTGTTAATAATGCAAAGATGCCCATCTCCAGTTATTCAAGGAAATGAAATTTAAAATAACAAATTACTCATTCATATGAAAATCAATGCATATGAAATCAATTGCAGCAGCATATAATGTTAATTCAAAATGTAGTTTTATTTCAATGATACAATTTAAAATATATTCATCTATACCTATTCTAAAGACAATAGTAATTTTTGTATCAAAAATATGTTTGTTGCTTATTTAAATGAATAAACACATGAAATATCATTCACAGTATGCAAAATATATATAAAATAAAAAATGTGAAACTTAAAATTTCAGAGGAAAATGCATGTATGATAGAAACTAATTTCATATAGAAGATAGGGTGAATATAATTTTAAGACAAACTTAGAAGTGTGATTCTAGATAATTTCACACCATCTTCAGTTTTTTTTTAGCAGTTGGAAGATGATTGTAAAATTGTAATTTGATATGGATGGTTAGCATATCATGCAAAATACACAAGCTAACACATTGTAATATTTTGCTGAGCTAAAAGTATATGTTTAAATTAGAACAGAAACCAACATGTCAATAACTAAAAGGTCTCTTGAATTATCTATTTGTAAAAAGTGATTTATCATGCTATAAAAAAATTAATGAAGCAGTTCTTTATTCTATCTGGAAAAAATGGTTCTTAATTCTTTCTTCTTATTTACACAAACAACTCAGACTTCTTATATTTAGTAGCTTTTTAAAAGAATGAAAAATGAAACTGAATTAAATTTACTCAAAATGTGGAAATTGTTACCAATGTATTGAGTACCTATTATGTGTTTACATATGCCACCTAATTTATTCTGTAGAATATATTTCTGTGGTAACTAATATTACCCCCATTTTACTGATGTGGAAAAGAAGCTCAAATATTAAGTCCTCACTATGATTTAAGTGATAGTAAATGGTAGAAATGATTTTCTTTTGTCATGGTCAGAAGTTCTAAGAAGTGATTCTTCCCACTGTTCTTTGTGAATTCTCCTCAAGGGAATATCTTCTCCAACTTACTTTGATTTGAATTAAGAAATTTAGGAAAAGGGTCTCCCTGGTGGCACTAGGTTAAGACACAACCTATGAAACTATCTGAAGCCACTGCAGCACAAGTTTGATTCCC